TCAAGATTCTTGTCCAGCTAACGTGAAAACGGCGCCTCGGGACTCGAACGCCGATTACACATCATGAAAGAACGAGTCGGCTATATTCGTCGAATGGTGGATATACAAATAATTTATATACGTCTGATCAAGAATTCCCCAATGCGGACAGAAGCGTAGCAGTCCGAATTCGGAAGTTGGCTTCGCAGAGCATAGTTCCAGTCTCTTTTCAAGAGATTAATCCCAACGAAAAGAGGCCGTACACAAAGACAATTCTCACCGCTTCACGTACGTCTTTCTCCTGCCACATTCCCACATGCTAAGTCTTATTTCGATAACAATTCTTTGCGCAATGCGTCGCTTTTGCAGGGAAAAAAATTGGACGCGAACATGGTAGATGAAAATTCTTTGAACACCGTGAAAGGTCATTATTTGCCCCAACAACCCATAATGTAGGGTCAATATTTCTACTTTTACTTCCACGGCATTTTTACACTTGAAAGCCGGCACATTGGAGTTCAATCGATTCCTAGAACACTAACAGTCACGTTGCATACGGCGTTCAACCAATTTGTTCGTAGATTTGAGTTCTTCTACTAGTATCCACTCACCATACTTAACAGTCTCGGAGTATTTTTCTATTCCGACCTAGGACCCAGCCCGCAAAATTCTTCTGTACGAGCTGACCATCATCGGGGTAGATATTATTTATCTTATCAATTCAAGCCCCCCTTCGGAGTCAGGCTCCGTGGCCTGAGGCTCTCTTTGTTCGAGTTGTTGATCTAACTGAGTTATATGGACCACGCCACCGGGGAATAGCATTTCATCTCAACTTTTGTTCTGAATTCATCAGTAAATCCTTGACTTGGAAAGTGTACGAAATCTCTGTAAACCCTGTAAACCTCGTAAACTCCGTAAACTCTCGGATAACGCCGGTGAACGACCGAATCGGGATGCCTTTGGCTGTGATTCCCGCACGTGCCGTGACGCATCACAATCGCGTCCACCCCCTTTACTTGCTTTATTCCGCGAAAAATCCTGCAATAACTCGACTCACGCGTCCATACTACACCATGGCATCCATGGAGGAGGTCCATGACTTTTTCTGGAGAAGGCGATGGTTTTCATACGACTCGCTGCGCGCCTCAAGGATGAGATTATTTTCGCCCTGAAATCCACTTAATAGGCTAGAATGCTCAAGTAAGTGATTTGGAAGAGCACTTGAGAGTTTCAGCTTGGGCGGGCACTCACAAAGCTAGATAATGTACAAACCGTTGGTGATGGAGGAGGAGGGAACCCGCGGCGTGACGCTGGAAGCTCGATGCAAACGGATTCAAACAATCACACAGCTTATGCAATGCGGTTTACGGAGTTGACGAAGTTGACGGTAAACTCCGTCAACTTTCCATTACAGGTATGTACTCGAATTCATCGTGCATGTTTTAATCTATGCCAACCAATCAAGTTGCACCAAACTGAACCTTCCCTGACTTCCTACAGGCACCACAGCTACCACAGCGCCATGTATCACCACTAGAGTTATATAGCTGACCCAGGTTTATGAAGTAGCCCCCAGAGCCACCAGTGCCTGCTTGGCCGCTCTTTCTTTGGCGGAACCTTGCGTTGAGCCTATGCCACGACCGTATTCCATATTATTTACTAAATGAAAATGAGATCACATGAAGGTTCTTGCAAGTGACATTAGGGCCGGAAAGACAGTGCACTCACCAAGAGCCACAGACGACCAAAGCAGACTGTTTTGGGGTCCAGTCCGTGAGCAAGTGTACGAGATTCCAAAGCCTTTCGCTTGCCCTATGTTGTTTAACCATGTCCTAAAATGTGCTGTTCCTAATGTTTGAGTAGTATCCCAATCCATAAATATCAGAGGACGGGTTTACTTCCGTCGCCACCAGTACAACGGAGACAGATAAAGTCCTTCTGCATTTTAACGCAGGCACTGTGGCTCCACCGTTTGCACACCTGGCACTTGATGGTGTGCTGGGATCCAGGGGCTACGAAAGTGAGGACTCCTTTCACTAGCACGTGAACAAAATAATGCTCACCACGGGCACCACAGACACATCTGAACAACTCGTAGAAACCAACGACTTCATTGCAGATGGAACAAATTTCTTGGGGACTAGGGGTATCGTGCGCTACAACCGCACTATCGACAGTTGTAGTTGCGAGTGTGATCTCTTCACGGATGTACCCAGGACAACGGTGTGGGCTTTGTGTATCCGTCCGAGTCAACCTGTAGAGACGAGAGAGGTTCATCTCTAGCTCCAGAGTAATCCTGTGTGCAATCGTCGCCAATGACTGCCGTCCCCCATCCATGGCCCGCCAGACGTATTCACGTCGTGGTGGGACACGAGATGGACCGTCCTCATCTTGGATGGTTTCCAATCCTCCTGCTACCTCACGCGACAAAAGCACTGATGACGCTAAGTCTTCAGCAGCGGAACTTGGGCCTATAGCACCCAATACTGCAGGATCTCTGTCAATTTGTTCGTCTGCACGTGTAAACATGTTTCAAGTCTTCTGCATTGGTAATGAATCCGCACGCACGATGTAGTATACGATTTGCTGATATCAAAGTCTGAATTCACTTCAGCCGTTGAAAAAAAACAGGACAACTGAATTGATTCACCTTTTGGCAGAGCGCATTGAAGACAATGCAAGCACTATTTTCTCCCTTTCGGTGAGCACCATTACCGTCCTCCCGTGACGGGGAGTTGACGCAAATCACAAACCGGTCACCGATGTCAAGGAAAATGTGAAAGTTCTAAAATTGTTAGCACTTTCAAGTTGATGATGCAACTCCATTGTTTTGACACACCTCCAGTCCAATCGACCCCAGAGATACCCCCTGGACGGAGAGATAATTCATCCCTGCCTGCAACAGACATTTCAAGTGGATGATATAGACAATTTCCAAGACCCACAGAAAGCCCTGCTATCTGTATGAAATCTTGTGAGCCGTCGCGCTGGTGTTGGGTTGATAATACAATGTACAAACCAGTTTAAATCCAAGAGAAATACTCCTCATAAGGTCATCCTTCAACGCCTCTGCAAGGGGAGCTTCAGCATTCTTCCAATGAACTGAAAAGGTCTTTGTTTCCTGAATACAGACACGAGATAAACAATGTACCGTTTTCGTATACTATGAAGTAAGAGGAGGCTTTAGGTGAAGAAACTCCTTCCATCCGGAGCACATTTGGATGCCTGCGGGCGATTTAAAGGAATTATGAGTGGCCAGCATGCTGTGGGCTGTTGCACGCACATGAGTTCCTTCGAAAGATTCACAGTTGATTCCATTTCCTTGCAAATTATGAATAATCAGTGACAATTTTGATGACTGGTCACATACCTGCCCCGCCGTTGGACCTCTATTAAAGACTTTGACGATAACTGCGCGACCTTCGTATTGACCAGTATGAAGAAAATATTCTGTACCGTGACCAATCTGGCGAATCAACTTGAGGTCCTTGACTTGCATAATCTGCTGACATATCGACATCAATTTTTTTTGCCGGATGAATTTTGCAAACCTCAAGTCCGTCCTGCGTTTCGAATGGATGTTTCTCCGGCCTTTGTGTGGGAAAATCTGTACAGTGCAGCCCCAGGTGTCAGCAAGGCCGAGGTTATTATGTTACCAAACGGGAAAGACCTTCCATCTCTTATCTGTTCTCTGCCCTTTGCTTTGCCATGGAAATTAAATTGAATAGCGAAAGGAGAAGGTCTGGGTTGTTCGCTGGTTGAGACACTCGATGATGGTCCTTCCGAAATCGTGTTCACTGGAGGTCCGACACGAGGGTCATCCAACAGGGAGTCGGGCATAATGATGCGCACCGGCATGGTGAAGTGCTCAGTGTCGACATCATAATAGAACCTAGGTCCCTCTCCCGGACCCCCATCACCACCCCGACCTTGGACACCGACCCCACCGGCACCTCCTGAGCCTCCTGCACTGAATGAATACGCTATCGGTGGACTAACCACTTTGCCTCGCACCAGAGATTGACTGGAAAACATCAACTTTCTTTAATTCGGTATCCTGGCCAAGCACAGTGGCAGTGATGGGCGAGGAACGAGCTGGGATCACGTCAGGAGGCCAGGTCGGTGTGAATCTCGTACTAATCTCTCAAACCTGAGATTTTCTGACGGCTGTCAACTGTAAGTGATTCGGAGTCCTGACGATGTATGGTCGGTGTGTTGAGGGCGGAAGGAGCTAGGGAAAATATCAGTAGACTAGGTCGGCGAGGATCGTCAAGTAGCCAGAACCGTGACTTGTCAGAGGGGCGGATACTGCTTTTGATTTGCTGGCCCGGTGAAGTAAGGTCTGCATAACGAGCGAGAAACGAGCTGGAGATACTTTCAGGAGAGATTAGGTGTGGATCTGTAACCAGTATTTCGCACCAGAGAATTTCCGAGAGGTTTCCACTGTCTTTGGTTCTCTATCCTGGTGAGGCATGGGCAGCTTGATGACGAGGAATCAGCAGGAAGTTTTGGTCCGCGTCTTCAGTGCGCTGGTGCGGATCGACGGAGAGCGTGGGCTCTGCCTCAGGCGACGCGTGTACTACCCCCGGGCCCGGAATGGCAGGACTGTCAGATTGAGCACAGCATGCCAGCGCCCACCGCCAATATAAAACATGGCAGTGCTCCCCAAATCGGGCAAGTACTTGGGGCAGCAAATGGTTTTTGACCTCAATCTGGGACATAAGTATCAGCCATTCTGGATGACTTTTGGGTTTTCGAATACATATCATTCGAGTATCAAGATTTCAATTTGCTTTCCTGCGTATCGTTACCTTCAAGCTACCTTTTCCAATAAATCGAGAAGTGGGTGTTATGTGGCCCTTCAATTTGGTTGGTTGAGATCTCGTTGTTTGACACCCAACTGCTCATGCGAAAAATACATACAAGGGCAGTCCAAACTGCCAAAACAGAATCTATGAGGATTCAATAGCGGCGCCGAAAGTCATAAAGACTGGCCAAAACAAATATCCTGAGTAATAAAATGCGTCCGCCGGGAGTCGAACCCGGAGCTAGGCCATATCACAGATAACTTTCACTTATGGGAAGACCCAATGTTACCGCTACACCACGAAAGCGTTGTTGGGGTTTAGGGTTAGTCAAGTAATGATGAAGCCCGACTCCCATTCGTTGCCAACAAGAATGACATCGTGTGAACCCTTCTGGGCCGGTGCACCAGGCGAAATGGATACCGCTGCAGATTTTCCATCACGCTCACATCCAGATATCCGGAGATAACTATACAGGTCAAGTGCCGCACAGGGATAATAACCTGATCCCCGACTGGCTGCCCGATTTTACTTCTGCTCAAACCGGTGCGTCTGCCACGGAATCCGACGCGCCGCACGATCCTGGCTATTCGGGCGCACCACCTCGTCTCGCTGATACAGCATGCGCGCCAGCCTGCTCTCCGTCGATTCTCTCTCCTTCTCCGTTTTCTTCTTCGGAACAGCCGCTGCTGGCGAGACCAGGCTAGACTGGGGCACATCCCAGCGCGTCGCGCCCTGCGAATAGAACGAAACGAAGGTCAGTTTACGATAACGCTCGGGACTGGGCGACAACCCACCTCTTCACCGTATCCGATCGCCTCCTCGATCTTACGCCCAACGCCCCACCAGTCGACCTGTGGATATGAGATGAGATCACGCTGCTTTGGGTACGTGAAAGAGAAGTGGGACGAACGGGTTCAGCGAGCTTGGGTTTTGCTTTCCGGCTCAGATAGGGATTGGGACTCGAGGTTGAAGCGACAGAGTTTGCAGAGAGGGAGCCACTGGTGCTGGCAGCCGCCGTATGTGTGGGACTGAGAGTGAGGTCGAGGGGAATAGAGGGGAACAGCTCCTTGGCCCGCGGAAGCGCTTGCCGCGCGGGCGGTTCCGCGCCGACGGATGCTGGAGCAGTCAAGGTCGATGCGCGTCCAGTAGGCACGAAAGTCGGAAATGGGTCAAAGTCGGGCTCAGGGGGAAGGGACGCCCGCGGCGCGACGTTCTTGACAGGCGGGGCGAGCTGTGGAGATGTGCGTCCTGTAGGTGCAGAAGCAGCAGGAGGTGTACCGCGCACAGCAGGAAACGGATCAAAGTCAGGTACGACGGGAAGCAAGTCCGGCGATACGGGATCACGTCCTCGTTCATCCTTCCCGCGCCTTGAGTCCGCCTGTATCGTGGCCATCCGCGCGCCGTTCGTCATTGCCATTGCCATTGTCATGTCAGATTCAGAATGCGCGTGTTTCTGCCGGTTTGGCACGGGGCGGGTGGAAGACTGTGTAGATTTTGACGTAGACGACCTAGATGGCCGCGATTCGGCCTTGAGGTACGGCTTTTTCGAGGGTTCAGCCTCAAGACGCGTATGGTGCTTCCCCAGCGCCGCTGCAGTGAAGCGGTCCTCCATTGTCGTGCCGCGCATCCAGAGATCACGTAGCGTCGGGCGGAGGAGGTTGACTAGCTCAGGGTACGGCATCTTGAAGAGCTCAAGGCCCGGACGGAGGTAGTACGTCCATCCTAAACCCGAGGTCAGCAACGAAGCAACATATACCAAAGGAGCGTAGTACACACCTGGTAGAATCCAGCCCCTTGCTGCATCTGCTTCGTCGAAGACGAGCCGAAGCCGGCCGTTGACCTCCTTCGCAGCGGCCCCCCGCGTCGCAATGAGACAGAGGGCAGTCTTGACGCGGCGCAGGATCTGGACGCGATGGTGCGTGCGGAGCTCGCGGGTGGAGTGCATCTGGAGGGACATGGAGATTCGGGTGTGGTGCGACTCGTTCAGCACCATGGGGGCAACGGTCCCCGTTGCTGCTCCGCGGGCCAGGCGGGCATCCCAGGAATCGAATGCCTTAGCAGTGATGACGCTGGACTGGGCATCGTAAAGCAGGGAAGTTCGACCAAAGCCGGACTTTCGGGAGGAATCGTCTGGTCTCAAAAGGAGGCCTATAGGCGTAGCGCCCAGTGTGAAGGCGTTGCAAGGGGGAGCCCACAGGAAGGCCTTTGGTTTTCCGGGAAGAAGGTCGATTGGATGGTTTCGGTCGACGCGGTTCTGCCGAGTCGAAATTTGCCAAAGTCCGTTAACTGAGCCAGGGGTTTGCCGCCGAAACTGTCGAATGAATGAGAAAACGAAGGTATGCAAGGGCACCGTGAACGCACATTGATGGAGGATTTGTGAGGGGCTTTGGGCAATTTCCTCAGCTCAGGACATTTGTGCATAAAATCTGGCGTTCAGCGGATGATGGGCAATGGTTTCTTGAGGTTTGAATTTGTGAAAATATATATGGAGCGGTTTGCGTCTATCCGGACGAATCCAGGTTTAGGCTCGCAGCTGGGATTCGAAGTAACCAGAGCCGAGGTCTAAAGACATTCAAAGGCTGCCCAAGTTGTCCAGAAAAGACGCGGGCCAGAGGACGTGAAGGTTGAGAGGAAAGCGTTTCGCCCTCACGTGGTCTTTCCTGCTTCCCCCTCTTCGATTGACGAAGTGGAAAATGAGAGCTAGAATAAAATTTGGTACAGGAGCAGCAAGCGATTTGGGTCTATGCCAGGAAAACTACGTGTACGACGATATGGTAAAGTATACAAAAATTCCAAAAAAAATGGCCAAGTACAATTCACAGTCCCTGCGACCTCGCGCGCTTTTGACTCGGACCGGCCTCTTTTTCCGGCTCGCTTTCGTCCGAGTCGGTCTCCGAGCCGTCTTCGTCGATTTCTTCAAATTTCCGCTTGAAAGACGGGGACGGCGCTGGGGGCCAGGGAGAGCCGTCGATGCGGCGAGAGAATTCGGCAGCATACTCGTTGAGGGTCTTCCCCGTTGGCACACCGCTGTGCAGCCGATACCCGTCCCACACCGCATCCGGGCCCCAGTACGGCAGCCGGGGGAGTTCGAAAACCTGTTGGCCCAGGATAAAGGGCGGCCTGACCCATATATATGGATTGGCCAGCCGCGAAGGCACCGGCGCCATGTCCGCATTGGTCGCCGTACCCGCCGAGAGCCTCTGCTCCCGATCGTACGCGTGCATATTCTTCAGCTTAATGAACATTTTGTCGAAATTTACGGCCCTGTCGCTGTCCATCCGCCGCTCCCACAACTCGAGGTACTCGCGGAGCGTGATCCCGTGACCGTCCATGATTTGGTCGTATGGCGGGAAAAAAACTTCCTCCGCGCCGCCGACCACCCGCCCGTTCTGCTCGTTCGCAAGACGGAGCTCTGCGAAGCGTTCGGCCTGCCATGCATTGTCCTCCTGGAGGACCTTCCAGCCGTAATGGAGAAGCATAGCTTGGGCGTGCGCGTCATCTGCGTCCATTTGCGACGCCTGTTTGAGGGCAAACCGAAGGTTCGCTTCGGTGGGCGTCCACGCGGGGTCGCGGTCCGAATACCACGGGTAGGGCTCAATGCCATGCATGAGCTGCCAGACGATGCGCCGGTCGTAGCGCCGGAGCTCTTCCAAGTCCATCTCGTGGTAACGCGAGAGGTCGACCAGATGAGGGCCAAGTGTGAGGAGACGGCGCGTTATCATTCCACGGATAGGCACCGTGCGCGGTTTTTGTGCGAGGCGGCAGTTGACCTGGACGACGGCATTGAATACAGGGAACGGAACGGGAATCCGATGATTCTCGTAGATAGGGCAATACGGTGCTTCTGGAGTCGGTGCTTTGAGGGGTGCACCCTCGAGCACGGCGACAGGACGGAGAGATGGATGAGGTACCGCCCATTCCATTGAAACAGAGGGCATGGGGCCTTTTTCGGGGGACAACGCTACGGAGAGGTCATTAGTATCAGGTGCCACTCGATAAAAGAGGTCTGGACATACGTATGTCCTTCGCTTTCTCTTGCCCCAACTTCTCTTCCCCTTCTTTCGCTGCACGGAAAATCAGCTGAGTTCAATATAAGCGGAAGAAGCCATACTCAGAGCCATGGGATGCGGATGAGTGGGCGTACGATGCCCAACACGGGTGACAGGATAAGCAAAGTCTCTGACTTTGATGCCGTTGGAGACGAGGTTCTGTTGGTGATCCTCCGGGAAATAAGTGGGCATGGGAGGAATAGGCGTTCCCAGTTCCTCTGAATTGTCGATGGGCCTGGGTCTAAGAGGATCTGGTACTGGCGGCGTCTCATGCCAGGGGGCAATTTTTTGGTTGGGATGTGGTTCGTGGACTAGTCGCTTCTTCCGGATGATGAGCTTGCCGGATACTTTAGCAGTGATGAGCGCTTTGACGCCGAAGCCAACCACTGTCAAGGTGCGCTGCCTGCGGGGATCCACCGAGATGGGGATGGACATAGTGGTCATGGTGCAATGGAGGTCGAGGGGGCAGGCAAGAAGGAGGGCACGGGCGTCGTCTGGGTGGCAACTGGATTATATAGACGCGAGTGCATTGTTCTCGCTTTAGGGATTGTCTCCGATGGTCAAAGCGCAAAGCAAGGTCAAAGCACGGTCAAAGCGCCAAAGCGTCAAAGCGTTGCCAAAGCCCGTGCACGTGACACGAAACAATCAAGGCCAAATGGGATTCCATGTAAACGCGCGGAGAATGTTCACGAAGGCAGCAGTCCATAAGTGCGGCAGGACAACTTGAGGATAAGGGCAAAAGGCTGGAGTCCCGATTTGGACTGCATCAATAATCTTACACAGCCACCAGGGGCGTCAAAGAGTTTAGGGCAGTCTGAGCTAAGTAAAGATAGAAAACATGCTCAGCCACCAACCTGGAAAATCAGAGGGTAGAGTTTACACAGTTCCGATTTGAACATCTATGCAGCTACTCGAAAGACAAAGAATAATTTCTAGAGTTCTCAAAATACTCGCCGTGTTAGTGCTGCCGCAGACCCGTATATGTCTTCATGGACGCTACTAAATATAAATGCGGCCGCGGCAGGTCAGATGAGCAAAATCTATCAGAACCCATCGACAATTCCCACCCGAAGTACGACAATTCCCATAGCGGGTTGAATCTTCAATTGAAACCCAGTCGATCTTGCGCTACCATGGCCGACGACATCGAGACCAGCTTTCAGGCCGCCATCGATTCTGGTAAGATCAATGGCGCCGTCATCTGCGCGACCGACGCCGAGGGTCGGTTCGTGTACAACAGGGCGTTAGGAGAGCGCA